TAATATATGAAGACTGACCTGTATAATGTGAATAACCTGCTCCTGCACTACTGCCATGCACTTCAATCGGGTGTGTCCCTGACTGTGAGAATATGTGGCTAGCGTCTCCCCACTGTCATGGCTCTCTGTGACAAGGCCTACTGAGCGATACAACTCCATCGTTTCCTCTCCAGACCAATGGGGGAAATCGACATCAAGTCCCTGTGAATACTGCTGGAACTCAGGCTGCGAGGATGCTGGATCCGCCCCTGCCATAGCCATCGGACTAGCCTGGAAAACTGGCTCCTGTGAGTCCATGTATGGGTGCTCAGACGCCGCCTGACTAGGACCTGCCGCATACTACGATCCGTGGTGATAAATCGGCTGTTACCCGTAAGTAGTCCCAATGACTGGAGGTCTGAACCATCCCTGAGTCTCGACCACTGGTCTCGGTTCCATAATCGGGACAGGCTCAGCAGCAACTCGCTCACGTGTACGTCCTAATCCGCGTCCCTCAACTCGCTTACGAGGAACATCCAAGAACAACTGTGGATCTGGCTGTGTCTGGACTGCTAGTGCCTCAGCTCCAGGCTCATCAACTCGTGAATTCTCACGAAAGATACCAATAAGCTTGCCAATCTCCTCATGAATAAACTCAATGCCGACTCGAGAAAATTCATCCGCAGATGATGCATGATACAACATCTCTAGACCGTCAATCTGTATAACAAAATGTGTTAGCAATGTCATAATTTATGTTTAAATATGAATGTGTACACAGATTTTAGAAACTCACAATTCGTCCCAACTCTGTTGCCCTCCGAGAGATGTATCTCTTTCCCCTCCCTCTGTACCACTCCATGTACTCATGATTAGGTGACATCAACCCTAGTAATGGAGGGGGCACAAGAATATGATTCACCCTGGCCTGCCATCTCGCTATATGTCCACTAAGCTTACGCCTCCAATTCTCTTCAACCTTTCCCCGTAGAGTATGATCATGTATCCCTCTCAACTTTCTGCTCACATCCGGGATGGGTTGATCAAGTCTAAACTGCCGCATGCACCTATCCGGCTGACATGCCTCGACAGTGTGGAAGTAAAAAAAGGGACTGATAGCAAGCCATAGATACTTCTGGTGTTCTGTCACGTCCAGCCACTCATAATCGATATATGGTAGCCACACCACTTACACACAAAATGAAATTTGAATATAAGGAGTTGGAAATTAATATACATGCATGATAAAATAACAACAAACTAAATATGGACCACCTTACCTCATCTCTACAAAGTGTATCCAAGGTAGCCAGATAATGAGTGACCTCATGAGGTTTAAACTTTGCTACTGTATTAAACCTGTCATCAGAAACATACATCAGCAATCATAATCAAGAAGTATACAGATAGTATATTTGATAAATCATTATCGAAATTATATTTGTTTAACTAAGCATACCGACATCCATAATGCGTGCCCAGCTCTGGATGAGGAGGAAGCGGCGAAGCAATGGGTGGGAATCGTATCCATGCCCAGATTTGAAGGAGAATATGGCAACCACCCATGTCAGATCGATCGGCATCTGTCAATTCACACAAATTCCTGAAAAGGTGTGACAGAACCGCAGATCCCCAGCTGTATCGGTCAATATCATCAAATCCTCCCCGAGCAACGGGACTAGCCGACAACCAAAATTGCTGCCTCCAGACTTGTCCGCCAGCAACCAAGAACCAAGCATCCTGGCAATGTGCGCCTTTGTGAAGTAAATCTCGGCAGCATGATCCCCTTCATGATCAGTCCACCTGGTATATAACTGATCTAAGTATGAGATACGCACGTCGCCTGAATGATGGAACTCATTTGGCTGTGGAACCGCGCCAAATACAGCCCCACAAACAGCGGGCCAATCCTCAGAGGTGGATCCGGTGACGACATCCCCGTCAGTAGGCAACCCCAATATGCCTGCCATATCTTGCAAGGTGATAGTCATCTCACCTTGGGTCATATGAAAAGTATGTGTCTCTGGTCTCCACCTCTCGACCAGAGCACTAATTAAAGGGGCATCGATCTGTGATAAAATATATAATCAGAGCGTGTTAACGAATAATAACATAAATAAAAAACAACGTAAATTGTATACCTGAATATGTCGCATCCGGGCAACATGTATGAATCCGGCCTGTGTCAGGTAGTCTGCGGCAACCTCTGGGATAGCGCCTATAGGTGGCCCCCCAGATGGCTTCCCACGTCTAGTCTTTATTTTCCTTACATGCTCTGTATTCCACACTCGCTGTGAAATATGAGCTTTCTGCGTCCTCTTACGAAGGACCTCCCATCTGTACGGCCCCGGTATGATGTACATGCTGGGATCGGTAGCTCTACATCCGATGCAGAACCCGATGAAGATGATGACTTAGCCATTACCCTCAACTATATAATATAAAACAACATTTACATTAATCACATGTAATGCCCCATTTTATTTACAAATTAATTAAGCAATGACATAATTTATTATCAAAAATTTTAAGCATATGCGTCATTTTCATTGCTACAATCAAAATTAATGAAATAATGTTAATACGTAGTACAGTAATTTATTTGTAATTAAATAATAAAAATACATTGGACAAAAGTAATATAATACTTACACAATACTTAACCCTAGGTCACTAATAACTTCATAAATATGTACTAATCATCACACCTAAATGACTACAAAATTATGAATAAACTCTCGCATTAATAACATCATACATACAAAATTTACGAAGTTTCTATCACTATTTACTAAGTCACTAATTAATACGCTGAACCCTAATGCATAATTAAATATTAATAATATGAACTACGTAACAAAAAAAGGGAAGTATCATTACAACATTCATAGCATTGCACAAAATTTCTAAGTGACTATCCTAATGTTCTCAGTCTATATACGATCAATTCTAACATGCATTACTAACTACCACCGTAATTTAAACGTATACAGAGGAGGTATTACGACCTTAGTCGGCAGAGCTTCGCTAAGAACCGTGGTTAGAGAGAGGTTAGAGAGTGGTGAATGAGTGAGGAGTGAAAAGGAAAGTGGGGGTATTTATAGTATTGCACAATGTGACGCCCCATTGGGGCGTCTTCTCCTTCATGAGAGACGCCCCAATGGGGCGTCATATGTGACGCCCAAAAGGGGCGTCACATTGTGCAATACATCTGTAAATACTCCCCAAACTGCAATAAATGCGTAATTATTTAATTAAATTGCAATAAATAAATTTTTTTGCCTATAACTATAGTAGTTTTTGAGGCAGCTGAAAATTGTCATTTTGTTAGAGTAATATATGAATCAATCTTATGAATATTTAACTTGAGGTAGGATATTCTTACTATCAATTTTTTTTACTATCATTCCACTGCTATTTTAATTATCATTGGATTCAAAAGCCATTTTTCTTTTTTCTCTCTTTATTCAATTTTTCCTCTAATCCAACGGTGATTAGAATGGTAATGATGTGAGAGTAGAAAAAATTAGTAGTAAGAATATCATATCTCATTTAAGTTTGGTGGGTATAGTTCAATATTTGCGAAAGCTCTGAATACTCCATAGATTGATTTTGTATAAACTGGGCATTTAAGATTATTTACTTTTGAGTTGAACTTGGATATAGCTATAGTAGTTTGAGACAGCTGAGAATTGTCATTTTGTTCGAGTAATATATGAATGAATCTCATGAAAGAAGGATTTATTTACAAATTTTTTTTACAAATTACACTAAGTATGACCGGTCATACACTCTTAATTAAAGTATGAACGATCATACTTAATGTAATTTGTAAAAGTTTGTAAACAAAAAATTTGTAAATATAATCTTCTCATCCTATCGATTTTTAAGTTTTGTGGGTATAGTTCAATATTTGCCAAAACTCTGAATTGCTCCGAAGACCGATTTTTCTAATCGGATATAATTCTCTTTTCTGCTTCGACTCTGCCATATTTTAGAACCTTTTTTCCTTAACTTAAATTTGCTTAATATTAAGTAGAAATGATCAATTGATATTTCGATATTGACAAATTCAATTGGACATGTGAAACGCAGATTTGCATAAACTCTGTTAAATATGACATGTATTAGAAGACAAAATTTAAGATTTTACTTATAAATTTGCCTTATTTAATAAGCAGTGTCACATTGTCTAGATTTGAGTGAAATGAAGTTTAATTATTTTGATAATATTGATATTCAATAGATATTTTATTATGGATACCTTACAAAATGATTCTGGCGACTTCTGAATCTAACCTTACTTACAAATGAGTAAATGTACATATGGATATTAAGGGCGATATTTTGGATAAATATAAATGTAAAAAAGGTATAATGATTAATAAAATTAATTTCTTGGGGGAAAAAATCTGCATCTGTAATAATCACGATGACGAGTGTAGATAGGCTAGGCTTTGATTTAAATAGATCATGCATGTGTAAAAAATATTAGATCTGACCTGATCAGTTAGCTTATACAGGCTCCAAATTACAAATTTGATCTGATCTATATTTAAAAAAAAAAGTCTTGACTTAGTCTGTTAGTCTGATTAAGCCTATTAAACATTCAACAATTAAAAGAATAACTAAAATAATATTACTTTATTATTCAAAATTATTAAAATAATAATTTTATTTAAAATAAATAATATGATATAGACCGGCCTGTAGACTTATAGGCCCAACATGTACAAAACATGGCCTATTTTTTAAATAGGTTTTTCTTAAAAACCTAAATATGTTCTATTATACTATTTGTAATAGGCCAAGTCTGGTCTAATATAGGCGAGACCGTAGGCTCCTGTAGGCCGGTCTAGCCCACTTACGTCCCTAATCACCACAAACTATATAAAATTAATTAAATAACAATAGAGGATACCAAAATAATAATAATAATAAATTAAATAACAATAGAAGCACATAATTGGAACCAAACTTAGACTTCTGAAACGTGAGTGAAGCCTAAAAAATTGTGATAGTGATGAAGAGCACACTCTCTTATTATTAATTTTAATAAACCCAAGTTTGCATGTAACTCGAGACATGGTACCCTCAACCAATTACATAGAAAAGTGGCATAGTTCCTAGGATTGTGAAAATGCATACGGAGCTTTAGTGGAAAACTTAAGTAACATAACATGCTTGTAAGGCTTTTCTGGTGTCACAATAGTTGATGGGAAATTAGGGTGATTCACTGAGTCAGGGAAAGCTTGACTCTCCAAACAAAGTGCTGAACGTGGTTGATAAACAAATCCTCCTTTACCCTTTTCATTCTCAACGAAATTAGCAGTATAAAATTGCACACCAGGAGCATTTGTTATGAGCTTCATAACTCTCCCTGATTTCTTATCCATAACTATAGCAGCCAGCTTGAACTCTCTGCCTTTTTTACCATCAAGCACATAATTTATGTCATAACCATTAGTTTTATTCAACTGGTTGATCCTGGTCCCAACAATGTGTGGCTTAAGGAAATCATATGGGGTACCCTTAACAGGAGCAAATTTGCCGGTGGGAATGAGTTGGCTATCAACTAATGTGACCTGTGATCCAAAGATTTGAACCACTTCATCTAGAATGTTACCACTATTGTGATTTCCTAGGTTCCAATAAGCATGGTTTACTAAATTCACTGGAGTAGGCTTGTTTAGAGCTTTTGCTTTCATAATTATACTCAATGAGTTTTTCCCAAGAATGTAGCTTGTAGTTACAAGGAGGTCCCCGGGAAATCCTGAAACACAAATATTCAATTATAGTTCCAATTTCTTATATCAGGGTGGGGATATTTTACACTAATTTAAGTTTTATTCTCAATCTTAACCATTGATTCTACTTATATTTAACGACTTTAATTTTTTAAGTTAGGTGAATCATTAAATCCAAGTGTATCAATAGTCAAAAATAAGTGTAAAACTTTTCACTTGAGGTTTCAAAGTGCAACTACATTGAAGAAATGAAGTTAGTGACAATTCTTACCTTCTTCACCATCAAAACTATGGTAACTGAAGGTGATTCTGGGCATGTCACCTTCTCTTACGTACCTTTCCACTTTCCAAGGAACACGACTAAATCCTTTAGGTCCACCTAAGGGCAGCCAAAGGGTATGAGATTAATATCTGTATATGAGATGTGGTAATAAAACTAAATAAATGGACCAAGGTTTCAAAACCTTAATATGGACCATACAATTATAATAAAATTTATGGCTTTAATCATGGTAAAAATGTGTAAATACCGTGAAGTGTGTTGTTTCCTTCATTAGCAATTAATTTGTAATGGATTCCATTTAGAGTAAACTTAGCTCCTCCAATTCTGTTAGCAACCCGTCCAACAGTAGCTCCAAAATATGTTGTATCATTCTGCAAATATTTTGGCATTGCAATCACTAAATTATTATTTTGTACATCTATATGACAAAAAACTAGCTGTTAAGCAGAGTAAACAGTACTTTGGGCATGCAACTTATGGCATTTTTATGTACCTTCCTCTGCTCAAATGCCTTTCAATACATATACATTGAAACTTATTGACTATATTTGTTTAAGAGGCAGAGCACGGTGACATATGATATTTGCATATGCATCGTGGGTTGAGTTTTTCAATCCATCTTAAAAGTAAGGTGAGACGGACTCATTTTTTGGCTGATTGATAGCGGACCGAGACAGATCAGTGTAAAATAAGCTCGAGCTGACCAGCCAAACCGCCCAACCTGCCAAACGGACGGGACAGACCGAGTTTTTTAGTCCACTTTCAAAAATAGGACAGGGCGAGCTGACTTATTTTTTGACGGAATGAGATAGGCCGGGTCAGGCCGCCCACTTTGCAACCTCTACATATGATATTTGCATATCTTTAAGTATTTATTTTTTCATTTTAATATTGCCTCCTGTTAATAGTCACATCATTGCAATGTTGTCGTTATCAAAATGGACACATCAAATAAAAAATATTAATGAAAACAGAAAATATTTTCACAAATCAAATGCACCCTCACATTTTCTTTCTCTGCAAAACTGCAGGTGTAGTTTACATTTTTTCATAAAACTTGGAAGATAAAAGGTACAATCTCCTAAGTAAATTTTCCTTAAAATTTAAGTTCAATTGAAAATCGTTTTTATCAGTAATTATTAACTTCCATGTACTTCATATTTTAAAAACTTCATATCCAATAAAATATGCTAACATGTTGACTACATATTTACAGATTATATGGATTCAGATCAATCGTCAAAACCATATTTTTCACATTTATGAATAAACTTCCGAATTTAATAATGCTAAAACTTAAAGGATGTTAGGGGTTTAGGCACTAAAATAACTTTTGTTCCTATGTCTTGAATTTGCATCTGAATTTAATAATTTATTCAAGAAGCAACCAATAAATCTATAGAAAAAATATTTGTCCTTTTAAATGACATAATTTATATTATTTTACTCTTACAGAGAGGTGAGACTCATATCTTTATTTTTTTTTATCCATTCTCTTTCCTCCATGATCTATATCTTTTTCTCACTTAAAATAACACAATTTTACATTCTTTGAAATGACACACATTTTTTCTCTAAACCTATTAATCCAAATTTATTTTCTTAATTTTCAAATAAATATATAAATAAATGAAATAAAGAAAATTGTAAAACACAATATCAAGAATAAAATATTGGATAAATATGTAGAGCCTATGTATGACGCAAGTGGTGACTACCCACTAGCTCTTGTCATATAGCATGAAAGGAAAAAAGTAAGCAGTAGCGGCAAGACAAAAAGTAACAAAGGATACAGCAATGTCTACATCTTAGCTAACACATTTTTGTGACTTTGTCTCAAACAAAACTCTGCCGTCGTGTGAATCAAACCAATTTGAAGTTGTTTTATCCTTATCTCTTAACATTCGCAAGAAAACAAAAGTAGACAGATGAACTGTTTGAATAATGGAGGTGGATCTGTTTTTCTTATTGGCAGTAATGTATGGGGCAGAAATATGAACCTACTTTCAATGAAGAATTACTATCATTGTGTTCAGTGGCGGAAGCAGAAATTTTAATTGAAGGGCGAAAATAAAACCCAACTCATTGAGAGTCAGTACTAAAGTAAAATTCATTCAATATAAACTCAATTTTACTTCATTCAATAAACTCCATCACACACTTTTCTTGTTTTTTCACCTACTTTGTTAGCTCTACAGTGACTCCATGACATGTTAAAAAAAATTTCTTCAAATTTGGGGAACTTGTTTAAAAATACTGTAATGAAAGGAAGATAGGAAATGTTTTAGAACAAGTACTAAAGACTTACCATGTAAGCCTTGATGGAATCATATCCAAGAACAATATCACCCAACTTTCCTGAACACAAACCAGAGTGAAAGAAAACAAAATGTAATTAAAAAAAAAAAAATAGAAAAAGAAGCAATATTGGAAGTTTTGAACAGATGTATATGTACCATTCTTATCAGGAAGGACTAGGGATACAAGTGTTGCACCCCAGTTGGTGACCTTTAAAGAAATGTCACCTTTCTTGAGCTCAAAGAACCTAATAGGGTCCTTCTCCTTCTTGACAGAGCCATTGACAAACCCTGAAGCAGCTAAGAATAGCAGACACAGCAACACCAAAAACTTAGTCATTTTCCTACACAGTAATGTCCTATAAAGCTAGGATTGTGCTTAATGGGTTAATTAAGAGAACATTGAGGAGAAAATTATGAAAGAGAGTGGGCAAAGTCAGTGCAAAAGTGTATCTGTTTGTGGCCTTTTATTGCAAGCGGTGACTCTCTCTGACTAGGATAGCATATGACTAATGATAATGACAAATGGAACGGCACATTGTGACATGTTCTTAGACGTTAGTTATATTTTATTTTTATTTTTAAAATTGGAGTGACTTTGTATTTTCACAAGTTTGATCTCTTTCGGTCGATTATAAGATTAATCCAAAATACAAAGCTGGTCAAGGATAAAAATATTAAGCTCCTCCTCCTAAAAATGACAGATGAGAATCGAATAGAAGCTTTTTTTTTTTTCTTCATTGCACAATTTCTATACACCAACAGATGCTATACTTTAGGGTGGTGTTTGGTTGGGAGCTTTTTAGCGGATATCTATCTTTCTCAAGTATGGCTTTTAGAAACACCATGTTTGTTCCAACGTTTTTCACCAAAAACCCATCTATCCAATTTGTCTGAATTTATGAGAAACATAGATATCCGCACTGTTTAGAAATCCAATTTGAAGATGAGATTTTTCGGAAAACCGGTTATCTGGCTTTTAACGCAATGTTGATTTCATAAAATTACCTAATTTTTCCAGTAAAGTTTTTCTCCACCAAACAACTTTTTTTTTACATTTTCTACCTATCTCACTCTATCTATCTTTCTAATCATTTCTCTATCTATTACATTTATCTACTATTCCAAAAAAATTTCCTCGACCAAACGTCCCATGGTTGTATTCTTGCTGTACTACCGGGTCAATGAATTGAATTTCAAGTGTTATGAATAAAAAAAAAATACATTCTTAGACATATAAATACATTTTAAAACTTAAAGGGATGTTAAAATAGCTGGATGAAGATTTCTCCGAGGTTTTTAAAAGTTATAGAGATTTTTTGCCATTAAATATTGGGATTTGCATTTGTTATTTAACATGACACAACAAACTTTCCTACACACACAATATTTTGTGGGCCCACACTTTTTGAAGAAAAAAGAAAAAAAGAAAATTACGGCATACAAAACGAATCTCTATAACATTACACAATCATTTTTCCTACAACATAACTCTTATAAAATCCTTAAATATTTAAAGAGTTGTTAATGCGGTCATTGAACCGGATCTACAATTAAAATTGGTGAACCGGTCAAAAAATGGGATCCAACTGACATTAATATGTTAAAATTTGTAAATGAGGAGAGTCAAACTCTGCACCAAAGGAACCTTTTTTTTTTTTTTTTATCATAATTGGACCAGCGCCCCTTTAGTACATCGTACCTTGAATTGATTAATTTACGGTGCACATGGGTTCTAGAAATGACTTTAAAATTTATAATTGTTTTTTATTTTTAGAATTAAATTTATTGAATGGTGTTGTGACTTTTAATTTTTAAAATAAAAAATATAAAAAATATTTATTTTCATAATTATTTTGTAAAACAATTTTAAAAATAAAAAAAATCAGAACATAACATTTGTCATGCGTTCCGACGTTTTCTCAGTATGATTATATCTTCCAATGAGTTAAATTCAAGCCTCCTATTAAATCTTGAACTGCATTATTTGCGTGTCTGTCATGACTCGCTGGCAATCTGATCCTAGTAAGTAGATCAATATCACAAAAAGTAACTTATTTATATTATCTTTATCTTTATAACTATTTTCAATCTTGTCACTTTAGGATTCACCAAATTCAATAACGTAAGAGAATTTTCCTCATTCGTCCTAAATTTTATTTCTTCTTTTTTCCTATCATCTCACTTCACTTAAATTAAATTAAATTAATATTATTATTATATCATTAAATTTATAATTAACATTAAATTAAGTAATTTAAAATAATAATTAACAAATAAATCATTATTATTTCTATCGTGATTTTTTGAAATCTCTACAAATTCTGAAACTGTCAAATTTATCTTTTAATAATGATAATTTGATAACTTTTCTATTTCTTCCCTAATTTACCAAAAGATGCTGCAAAGAGGACCGGATGATTTTTGGATGAATAGGGAAAAGTAAAAAATCAATTGTCAATTTTTTATTATTAATAATAAATTTGACAAATTGAAATTATTTATGCTGTGAATTATTATTTAAGTCAATGAATGTAATGTCAATTTTCAATTTATTAAAAAATGATAATGTTAATTTGGTCAATTCATCAAATTAACTATTTACATGACTTTTTCTTGCAAACAGAGAAATAGAAAGAAAGAAAATAATCATGTTATTATTATTGATAATAAATTTAATATTTGTGAATTTGCAAGAATTTAAATAAATTACTATAAAGATAAGAATTATTGATATTGCTAATTAAATTTGATTCAATTAATTTAATTTCGATTTCTGATTTAATGATAAGATAATAATGTAAATTTATTAATTTTTTCAAACATAAAATAATATTTTGAGCTTAATTTACTCTTTTTAAGTAAATAAAGAAAAATATTTTTTCTCCTTAGAAGTTTTCTCAATATTTTATTAGACAAATACATAGTATGTAATCAATCTTCTTCTTCTTATTCCGTTTTTTAATCTTGCAATCTATCTAATAAAATTATTACATTTTGAATTGTCCCGTTCAATTTTTTATTGAGAAGACCTTGATTTTCTAACTTTGAGCCAGATTACTAAACGTAAGCGAACGCGTTACGCACGAGGATGGGGCTGCGTTCATGAGTACCGGTGAAAGTGGATTGGGTTAGGTGAAGTTTTGTCCTGAAAAGTTCAAGTCTATGTCAAAAAATTTCAATTTGGCCTGGCTCAAACTTAGTATGAGTCTAACTGTTAACCTGATTTGATCCGCTATTTAAAAGCAAAAAAGAAAAAAAAAGGCACAATTTTCAAAGAAAGAAAAAATGAGATGTATAAAATAAAAGTAATATTTGGCATAATGTTATATATCTTAGAACAAAATCAACCGGATATGATTATTTAACTATGCATGAGACAGTTTTGTCCTAATTGAAGAATTTTAAAGTTAAATTTAGAAATTTGTTACATTTAATTTTTTATTGAGAAGGCCTTGATTTTCTCACTTTGAGTCAAGTCACATAATACAAGTGAACGACTTATGCTGTTATGCACGAGGGTGGGGCTGCGTTCAGCATTCGTTCACATGGATTGGTTGAGTTTGACGTTGACCCGTGAAAAGCCTGTTCAGATATTAAATTAAATTAAAATTAGATGCTGCCATCCAGTTTTCACTTCCTCTTCAAAAATGGCAACTAATCCATTGGGCGTTTTCATTCTAAGAGGTATTGTTGTTAAAATTTTAATTTATCATTGTAATTTTATATTTTTATGATTATTTTTATTAAAACGATTTTACTAATATTACAAACATTTTTATGATTTTTTACGATATTTTTACATTACGATTTTATGTTTTATAATTTTTTAATTCCTATCTAATTTTATTTAAGATCTCAATTTTAATAACATTGCGAAGAGGTGTAAAGATAAAAGGCCCTCAAAGTCGTTTTCTTTTTCTCTTATGAGGCGTTTGGTAGAGGAGATTTTTTTTTTTTCGAGAATCTCAATTTTCAAAAATATAACTTTTACATTCAGTTTATTATAGTATTCAAAAATTTAAAATTTAGAAAAATTCAATTTATCAAAAATCTTAAAAAATGACCCGTAACAAACGCCCCTTATAAATAACACATATTATCCGTAGGAAGTAATCTTGTTTGATGTGGAATATTTATATCATGGTTAACTCTTCCAATATTTTTTTTTTTTTTTTATATTTACATAAACTTAAACTCAAAACTTTGTTAAAGCTGAATTAAGAACTTGAACCAATCCTTTTTTCATAAGAACTTGAAAGTCGTTGATAACAAAGCTGGGGTCACATTTAACATTTCCAAGTAGTTATTCTTTATTTTAAAGAAAATGGTTAAAAATAATATTTAATAAAACCGATTTATTTTTCTGAAACCAATTGCTTGGGAACATGTATGGACAGTGTTTTTTTCTTTTATTTCCTGACATATTATTTATGAAATATAGACATAATAAAATATGTTATCAGAATGAAATATATATTATTTATTGGAAACACTATTTATTAAATATACATTTTTTTATATATATAAAAATAAGTTGTGTTACTGTTATCAAATATTTCTTTTCCATAAACTTTTTCTAAGCACAAAAGTAAAAATAATTTTATTTTTTTAAAAAAAAATATCAGAGAACAAAATCATTACCCTGCACACCCTGTACAAAAGTAAAAATAATAATTAATTATTATTATTTTTCAGGGCTTGCTGCATTTATTTAAGGGCAATGCTTTTCTCATGCTACATGAGATAATATTATCTCATGTAGAGACATAATTGGATGGGTCCCGCGGTTAAAAGAAAAAAAAAAACAAAAGAAATGCTAGCTCGGATTGCGATGTGTCTGTGACATGAGATAAATTTTTTTATGTAACTTGAGAAAAATATTTCTGTTTATTTAATTATCGAATAATTTAGGTTACATAATAAGGGCATATTTTGTTGACATTTTTGTAACTGCAGACAAACAAGACTAACAGTACAATCTCATTTGAGGTTAACAAAACCCAAATCCTTACATTAAATGTCAAACCTTTGCATTGTTATTGTTCAGTTAACATACGTAAAGATTTCGTTGACGGTTTCAAAAGTTTATTCCACATTTAGACTCAATGATTTTAAAAATTAAAATTAAAACTACATTTTATTCTCCATCGATGTATTTGCCCCCAATTAGAGTTCGTATGGATGGATTTTTGAAAATATAATTTTTGTAAATATTTTATTTAAGATTTTTTTCGAGAGAAAATTATTTTGTATTTGGATGTGGTAATGAAAAATACATTACGTAAAAAATTTATTTTGAAATTAAATTTTTTTTTTATATAAGATTATTATTATCATTTTTTGATTTCCTAGAGTATCCTTACCTATTTGGACGAGACTATTCTCGTTGTGAATTAGAGTGGGAAGATTTTTATTATT